GACGCTGCGAGTCGTTGAAGTAGGCGGGGACGGTGATGACGGCCTTCTTGACCTCCTTGCCGATCTTGGCCTCGGCGATCTCCTTCATCTTGGTGAGGACCATGGAGGAGATCTCCTGGGGGGAGAACTGCTTGGTCTCGCCGAGGTAGTTGACCTCGATGAAGGGGGAGCCGTCCTTGTCGATGACGGTGAAGGGCCAGTGCTGCATGTCCTTCTTGACGTCGGGGTCGTCGTATCGGCGGCCGATGAGACGCTTGGCGTCGAAGACGGTCTGGCGCGGGTTCATGGCGGCCTGGTTCTTGGCGGCATCGCCGATGAGACGCTCGCTCTCGGTGAAAGCGACGTACGAGGGAGTGGTGCGGTTGCCCTGGTCGTTGGCGATGATCTCGACACGCTCGTTGACCCACCAGCCGACACACGAGTAGGTGGTACCAAGGTCTGTAGCGAGGCAATGCGGGCAAGGTCAGTCTGCTGGTCGCATTTTGCATCGTGGAAGAAGGGGCCTCCGGTTGGGCACCACTCGCCACAACCTATCTGTTGCGTAAAAGACTTGCAAAAGCATCGGCTGCCAAATGGAATGCAGACGACGGATGCTGATGCTTGCGTTGGGTCGAGTGGTGCGTGCGGAATCAAAATGCTGGTTTGGTGCTGAGACGCTGTGCAGGATACGTACCAATACCGATGGCGCCCTGGTAGACGGTCTCGTCGACGGGGGTAGCGGGAACCTCGCTGGACATGATGACGAAGTTTGTTTTGTGATGAGGGGGGAGGGATGGGGTGATGGAGTAGAAGAAGAGAGAGGGATCGCGACCAAGGTCTCTTGAGCCGCCCGCCGCTCGCTCCCTCTGCTCGGTTTGCTGGTCAAGCCACGAGCGCTCAGACTGCCTGGCTGAGGGTCTGTCTCTCTCGCTCTGCCTCAACACCGCGCCTGGCCGCCGCTCTGGCCTGCCCAAAGAGTGGCCAAAAAACTTGGGCGGCACCTGCGCCTGTGTGTCTGTGCAGTCGGGCAGTGGCCATTACAAACTCTCTCTCTCTCTCTCTCTCTCTCTCTC